AATATATATATATATATATATATATATATATATTTATATATTTATATATTTATTTTTTTTCCTTTTGTGGTTGTGTACTTCTTAAAAAAATAAGTAGATATTCAAAGAAAAAAATACATCACACTTTTGAGAGAGATTAGACAATATAAAAAAAACCGTATTAAAAAAATACTCAACACACAAAAATAAACATCCTGCTAAGAGAGAAGTCATGTTATCTTTGTTTTAAAAGTATAGAATTAATTCATATATATCTTGCTTTAATATAAAAAAGAAAAAATCAATAATTTAGTTAATTGATCTCTACTAAAAAAATATAATTTAATTACTCTCTACTAATTATTTAGAAAGAAATATCTCTAGTAGATTTCACAGCAGATATTTTCGTTGTTTTTGTTGGATGGCTAATCAGAAGCATGCATTGTAAAATATTGCATGTTTACTTAATTATATGATCAAATTTAAAAGAGATTATTAATCAAAAGAATAAACATTTACCCTATATTAGGTACTATAACTACTATCGTTTAAGAAAATTTTAAATCTTTTCATTTTTTTTTAGAAAATTATATTTCGTGGCTGCATTTTTCTAATTCTTGATATTTATCTGATTTATATAATTTGTCTGATTTGTATCAATTAGGATTTATATAATCGCTTCTGATAGTATAAATTCAAATTTTTGGTATTCTTCCTCTAGTTATTTGTATTTGATTTATGAAAAATTTATAATAAATTACCTCTGTATGTATATTGACAAGCAAACCATGGAGACAAAATTCTTGTACTGCAACTTCCACGACAAATAAAACTATAATTGCGAAACACATTCACCAAAACTATAATTATAAAGCTTTTTTTATGTCTATTATTTTATTTTATTGGTTAAATTTAGGACACAAGGTCCGTCAATTGAAATACTCTAAATGGGCAAAGTCCATCAATTCAAGAGAGCCTTGCTGAAAGTGTACAAAATTATATTCCAAATTTTCATTGACAATCATCTAATTTACTACTACTAACTACATCCCATATTATATTCCAAAGTTATAATATGTCTTCTCCTTTTTATGTCTATTATTATTTTTGCTATTTCTAAAATTTTCTCAATTAAAATCACCTTTTTAGTAGATTTCAAATATGGGCCTGAAAAGATACCGTTGACAAAGAGCCCAGAATCCCGGCCCACATATTTTCTAGCAGTTAGGGAGCACGACTGAATCCAGCCTGACAATTTCAAACGACACCGGAGTCTATCGAAAGATCACCGCTTCCCGTCGGCGGCGAACTTCCGCAATCTCCTTTTCCGGCGAATAGTGTTTGTACGTTCGTCTGCTTTCTATGCTCTGTATCTATCTCCATCTTGTCTTGTCTTCTACATATATGTTTCTCATATGACCAACAAACCCTACTTGCTATTTTTGCATGACCTGTAATCCTAGAATTTTATGGTTTCAAATGCTTCGTGTCTGCTTCTGTTGTATTATGAAAGGCTCAAAATTTGATCTTTTTAGTTCTTCGTTTTGCTTGCGTGTGAATCGGCATTCTTACTTACTTTCATGTGACAATTGCTGTGAAGTTGTGGCCTTTTATTGATCCACTCTGAAGTATTATTAATCAATTTTATGAATATTGTGAATTTTGTACTTCTAACTTTATCCCATTTTGTGTGTCCATTTTCTTTACTGGTGTTTAAAATGTTGGTATGCAACTTAAAAATCTGCAGTTTGGGTAAATTGGAAAGAGAGGTAAAGCAAAGACAATTTCAAGACACTAGAAAATTAGTCATCTAATAATCATGCCTCAGTTCCATGTATGTCATAAATTATGGGAAAATTATTTGTTTAGACAAATGCTGTAAAAATTTCAATCTAACCAGACAGGCTTTGTGATTGGATAAACAAGGGTAGTTTTGATTATGTTAATTGCCTATATTACATGGCTAAACAAAAGAAATCTGTCAAAATAATTAGAAATTTGCATATGTTGGAGAAGGGTAGAGGGTCAGACCCATTATCTTCTTAGTTTCGAACCTTGCGCCATTGACCCCGGGTTATAAAAAAATTAGAAGTTAGTAAATGTTCATGTCTATGATATTTAAATAAGGATAAGGGTTTTCTTTTTTAAAAAAAATTATAGAACACTAGTTACTCTTTTCTCTTCTGGATCAGTAAGACGGAAATAGACCTCAGACTTTACAATAAGAAACGTTGCTTCTCCCATAACTGAAATTATAAATGGTTGATAATAATTCCCTATGTCCAAATTTAATGATACTCCTTCCATTTTGGGAGGTCCCCGAATATATGACATTCCATTAGCATACCATTGTCACAACCTTCAAGTTCTGAAATTCAGAAGTATGATGTGATGTTTACTCTATCGACCAATTTTTTCAACCAATACTTTATTTTTCCACTATTACTAATATAATAGACAAACCAGTCTATTCGTATTTAAGTGATAAAGATCAATTTGTGTTTGGTTGATCAAGATTTGTTGATCTAAGATGATCCGAATGGAGGCAAAAACCCTAGGTGATTCTTCCATCTGTCTAAGCCTTGGTTGAGTTACCTAGTACCCAGTGGAACTAGACAAGGTGCATGCGCAAGCTAGTACGGACACCACAGTTTTTTAAAAATTGATCAACTGATTTAAGATACCACTTGAATCTGGTCGATCAAAATGGACGCTTAAGATAATAGTTCATGAAATTAGTGCACAATGAGTCATATTTCCCTTTTTCTCGAGTTCAAGGTCAAATATGTGCAGCCGTGCAGAGTGTTCTGTTTGTTAATTTTCCGTTCCAAAATATATATCTCTCCTTTTCTTCATAATCTTTTTCTTCATAACTTGTGGTTTGTGAATCTGGATAATTTTTAAAATCTAATCAATCAACTGCTGTCATTGTTAATCCACCTTATGGATAGAACTGTGCTTGAGTTAATGTTGGAGGTCCTTGCATAACTGACGAACTCTGGCTTGTTGTTGTAAGTGATTCATCAGGTGCGCTCCTTAAAGTTCTGCATATCTAAATGGACACACTTTCAACTGAAGATTCTATTATGAAGAGTGCGGAATTGATATCCAAGAAAAAAAGAAAAAGGGCGAGGCAGAAGGCTAACAGAAAGGTAAGAAAGCAAAGGTTGGGTCAAATGCTGAAAAATCTGGAGGCTCCTAAAAGTGAAGAAAGTTCCGTTGAAGATGTTGCTAATTTAGAGAACTCTGAAGCACAATTGCCTCCTCTAGGACATCTGCAAATACAAACAGAATCAACCAAAACTCTTTTGGAAAAGAGTTCTGTTAAGAGAAAAAGAAGAAATAAAAGAGGTAGGATGAAGGCGTTGGACAAAAATGTTGACCCTTGTAGCATGGATCAGAACAATGTTCCCTCAAATCCAATACTGCTGGATAATAAGCATGGAGACGTAGAAAATGACAATCCAAATATTTCCATTGATGTCGTAGCTGGTTTAGAGAACTCTGATGCTCAATTGCTTCCTCTAGGACATCTTGAAATGCAAACAGAAGCGACCACAACTCTTTTAGAAAAGAGTCCTTTTAAGAAAAAGAGAAGGAAGAAAAGAAGTACGATGAAGGCGTTGAACAATTCAGAGTTAACCATGCAAGTTCAGTCAGCTCCCATAAGTTCAGATGATTTCTGCATGATGAGGAGTTCTCATTTGAAGAGAAAACTTCTCATCCTTGATGTTAATGGTCTACTTGCAGATGTAGTCAATCCACCGCCAAAAGAATGCAAGGCTGATGCATGTTTCTCAAGACGGGCAAGTGAGAATTGATGATTTAATTTTCATTTAATTGCTTAAATGACCTTTTGAGCTTCATTCACAAGACGAAGAAACACATGGTTCTTACACAAATACTCATCACTTTTGTTTGCAGTATTTAAGAGACCCTACTGTACTGATTTTCTGAATTTTTGCTTTGAAAGATTTGACGTGGGCATCTGGTCTTCTAGATCCAAGTAATCCTTGATGTTGAAATGCTTCTTGAGTTTATGTCGTTTTCCTGACTTGATCTTTTAGTTTACCCCAGTTAATGATTTAAGTTTTTCTAATGCATTTTATGGTTTACTTATAAACATTTACTGGAATATATGTTTGTGCAGGAAGAACATTGTTAAAGTTGTTGATTATTTATTGGGAGACTTGAAGCATAAGTTGTTATTTTGTTGGGTAAGCATTCTTCCTTCCATAAATACTTCCGTATTGCTCCTCTGAGTTGCACTCTTAAATTCCTCTTCCAAATAGCAGGAAAGGGACAAACAGAAAAGCAAAGAAAAAGGAGTATGATTCCCTATTGTAATTTTTCTTTGCTTAGGGAAAGATTCAATTTCCTTTGTGGTATTTTGGCCCTGACCTAAGCTGATGCTTAGTGTACTGTTGTGCTCTGCAAGATTGTCAGGTCTCTGATGGATCATTGTGATTTTTGCAATTCCTTTGCTAGCATTATACTAATATTAAAACACATGAACACATGGGCTGTTTTTTCCCCTTTTTGTATATAGGGTTTAGAATATATTATTAACTGCATGAACACATTGGTTGTTTTCCTCTGTTGGAATGAGATGAAGGGAATGGAAAGTTATATTGATTCTTGTAACTATGCCAGACCTATTTCATTTATATTGTTTCTCTATGCATTGTATCATTTATGTTGCTTGCCCATGCCCTTGACAAGGACTGCGACTTGTGATATGGACCACCTATCTTGCAAGGTGTGAGAGGAGGTTATTGGTGAATATTTACGTCTCTTATGTTTCCCCACCAGAATTTTCTTAACCAAAGGTTGGTTCATTCTTTTCTTCACTCTCAGCCCAACCATTAGTAAAATGGAAAGGAAAATAAGAAGAAGAATGAGCCTGCAGTCACAGCATGATACTTCTGTGTGACCATTGATTTGTGGATGTGTGTGTGTTTATAGATAGTTTGTTTTTTTCATATATTGTTGGGTACTTCTCTCTTAGAGGAATAAGCAGTTTCTATTTACTAAATATTGCAGGATATGTCGCATAGCACTGAGACAATGTTTAGGACACTTGAGAACAAGCATAAGCCCTTGGTTTGCAAGGAGCTGAGCAAGGTGTGGGATAGATATGATCCAAATCTACCATGGGAAAGAGGGGATTATGATGAATCAAATACTTTACTAGTGGATGATTCTCCCTACAAGGCCTTGCTAAATCCGGTAAGCTTTACACCACCTTCTTTTTGGTTCCAGGACTACCCCTAAATGACCCCTTCTGATTTGGTATTTCTTTTCGTGATTGTAAATGCATGACGTTTTTCCTCAGGTGCACACTGCAATATTTCCTCATTCCTACAACTTCAAAGCCAAGAATGATAATTCACTAGGTGAGACCCTTTGTCTGGTACTTCTTAATATTTGTGTACTGTTGTTTACCCTTCTTTTTTTTTAAAAAAAAAAAAACTAAAACTAAAATAAAATAAAATTTAAGCCATTACCCAAGCTGTGATTTTTAAGGTGTTGGGGGTTTGACTTGATACCTGCCACTCAAATTAATCAGCAAAAGACTACAAATAGAAAGAGTGGGAGAGGGTGGGGGGAAAGAATCTTTTCTATGCACATGACTCTATACAGTCTTTGCTAAAAAGATGTAGCAAGGAGCAATTTTATATAGAAAGTCCTTGCTAATCTATCTTACCCTGAATTCAGTTAGCTTACAATTTTTTTAGCTTTGTCATACCTCAGTCTAATGTTGGGCGTTTGACCCTTGTCTAACTGAAAGGGCCCTTATGTGTTTAGGTAGACTTTGGAAGGTATAGTAGTATGATCTGTTTCCCGTGATTGCAGCTCGTTTAGTCAATAGGTCTGCCACAAGATTGGCTTCTCTAAAGCAGTGAGTTATTTGCACTTCAGCTTGGTCCACAATCTGATTCGTGGAGTTTATAACCTGCTTCAACTTGAGGTTGTTTGTATTGCCTGTTCTCAGCATCTTGGTCACTAATTCTGTGTCCAGTTCAACCAAATATTGTTATATGCCTTCTGTACACACCAGTCGATTCCCTCCTTTGCTGCAAAAGCTTCTGCAAAGCTGTTGCTACCTAAGTTGCTCGGACTCTCCAAAAGTGTTGCCGCATCCATGTTGGAACCTAAAAAATGCACTACTTTAGAAGGGTCCAACAAGCACCTGATGACATTTATGAAGAGTTCGAGCAACATAGGTTGCTGCTACACTGCAAAGAAAGAGAGAAAGCCATAACTAGATAACCATCCGTCCTAGCCTTGGTGGACAGAGCTACTTGGTACCTGTTGCTGGTGGGAGGTGGCAAGTATCGCGTGGAATTAGTCGAGGTGTGTGAAAGCTGGCCCGTACACCACGGTCATCAAAACTTTTTTATAGTTCCTAACTACTATAATACCTGCTTTGCCTGTGGCTTGAAAGAAGTGCTACCGTCTGTATTGATTTTGACACAGCCAGGACTTGGTTGACATAACAGCCTTCCAATTCACAGTTAGCCTCGACTTTCCACTTGCTCACAGCTTCAAGGTCAAATCCAAGTTAACTTGTATTTGGAATAGGCCTTATTTATAGCTGCCTGCTTGAATGATCCTTGTCGATCTGGATATCACATTGACATCGATGTGATTGAACTTCTTGTCTCCAAATTTGATAGCACACCAACTCCTCCGTATCTCCCAACAAACTATAATTGGGGTTATCTGCAGCAATGTTGTTTTCCTTTTCATGTTTAATGTGACCCTTTTAGTTGTTATTAGAACTGATTCGGTGATTCCTACCATCTGACTAGTGTGAATGGTAGTGGGCTTTAGACACTCTTGCTGCTTGATTGCCTTCCTTACTTAAAGATGTTAGATGTGATGCAACATGCAAAGTTAGATCAACATACATGGATTATGCAAACAACACTATTTATTAAGCAGGGGTGGGCTTAATGAATTTATGCCAATTTTTTTATTTTTTCATAAAGTGTTCCTTCCACTTCACAGAAGAGTGCATTTCGCTTCGCACTTCAAGCCTCATGGACACTTTTTGCTACTGATGATTATTGAGTCGAGCGTTTCTTGGAAATCTCTAATTTATATTGTGCTATAAAATGATGTATATTATGATGATTGAAAAGTTGCACCATGTTGTAGGCCCTGGAGGTGATTTGCGAACTTATTTGGAAGAGTTATTAAAAGCAGAACATGTACAGAAATATGTAGAGCAGCATCCATTTGGTCAGCGGGCAATTGATCAGACAAACTCAGACTGGAATTTCTACTCTGATGTTCTTTGTAGTCTGCTTGGTCCGCGAACAATTGATTAGACAAGCTCAGATGAGTTATCAAAAGCTTAACTGCACTTGTATAAATTACATGTGATAAGAGACTTGCTGCTAACGTCTTGGGATGATCTCGTTTGTGGAGCTGAGACTTGGTTTCACACTTTTGGGAATTCAACACTGGTCTGAGATGTGTAAGAATCACGACAAATGTGGACTGCTGCAGCTACAATCTTTTTTGAGCTCATACGCGGTCTTATCCTTAAAAGGGTCTTGGTTAATTGTTTTGACATGTTCTATTGTAACCAGTTAACTTATTTCCTCTCCCTCTTTGTTTTTTTTGGAGGGGAGATTATTTTTGTAGCCTATACTGTTATTCCTCCTACTGTGATTTTGTAATTTTATAGGCTTTTTCTTTTCATGACAAGACTCTCTAATTTCTGGCAATGGTGATTTTGTAGCTTCAGATGGGAGAATGAATGCATTTATAATTCACTAGCATCACACAACTGCTATTATGTAGTAGGGAAAAAACTCAGTCCATACACAAACAGTTCTAGATCCCTATATAAGGATAAACAAACACACCTAGTTGCAAAGAAACCTTAGAAATGAATTGGAGGGGTGTGCCAGATCTAGGCTACAGTGTAATGCCAAGACAACACTTGAGAGCCCCAATAGCAAGCTACCATAATGAACCCTCTCCCTAAAAAAATTGAGTTAATATCGTGTGAATCGATGATCCACATATCAGATATTAAACTGATAAGAACAGATACTACACTTGATCTTAGCCAAAAGGCCGAGAAAGGTATGCTTTACTTTGTGCTCAGCCTTGTCTTTATTTGCTGCTCATTCTTCTTCTTCCTAATACACCAGCGATATGGTATCGCTGGTTAAAGCAATGGGATACAAAAAGTGGAGGATTTTAACAGTGTATATATATTTTTGTTTTATTTTTACACTTCTATTGAATTTTTGCTTGTGATAATAGGCGATTTATTATTTATATCGTGTTATCCATTAGTCATCATCAAGAAATTTATATGAAATTACATAATATATGACCTGATTGCATAAATACTTTTTACTAAATTCAAAAACTAATGGTATTGCGAATGAAGGTGTCTCAGTATAACTATACCTATAGGGTGTGTGGGATCAACCACTAATGTTTGTTATCACTCGTAACTAAGTTGTTATATTAGTAGATTTATATGATGTTATATAGGATCTTAAATACATCTATGAGGTAATTTTTCCGATTTATCATTTTTATCATATTATCAATTAGTGATTGTCAAGAAAATTATCCGAAATTACATAATATATGACCAGATCATTGTATAAATATTTTTTATTTAAGTCAAAAACTAATGATATTGCGAATGAAAGTGTCTCAGTGTGACTAGACCTACGGAGTGTGTAGAAGCAACCACTAATACTTATATTATGATAGTCTGTCTACGTTACATCTCTTGAAATATGCAAATTTTTTCTCAAAACTTGCTAACACAGAACGCTTTGTGCCCAATGAATTGCTAATGGTCTCTACAAGACTACAACATATCGGATTCATAGTCATCTCATATCTCAAACTCAAGAACTAAGTTATAAGTAATTTTAATCGACCTTTTCTTCTTCTAATTTGTCATCTCATCATTTTCATGGACCACAAAACATCTTTTCATTTGTTGCCACTTTGAGATTAAAGTCCCAACACTACCATATCAATCTTCAATATATGAATCTCAAACAAAACCAAAGAAGAGTCTCAAATAAATGTAGTAACACTAAACTCCATTCACTAGGTCAACAAGTCTCACAAACTTTAATTTCATTTTCTTGCATACTATGCAACAAAGTACGCAATTAAAATTAATTTAATACCATAATATTCATACATAGGAACACATAAAGATCCAATTTTATTTAGAATTTTATAAATATGAAAAGAAAAAAAACAAAACAAAGTTCTTCAATTCACTCAAAATGATGGTATAACCCAAGTTTCTATCGTTAAAATTGTACACGCCCATGTACAATTTTGAGAAATTCCTGCTGCGCAAAAGCCCATTATATTTTGGGAATTACTTTCTCCGACTAATAATAGTTGTCCACTATATTATTTTGGAATGTTTAATAATATTTGTCCGTTTATGAAATTAATGGATAATTTTACATTTAGTTCTCAAATTATCCTTATCATTAATCATAATTTATTATCAATTCTTTATTACATTTTTCAAGACATTGTATTTGTTATATTCAAAGAGTAATTTGTTAAAATTACCCTTTTATTTATAGTTTCTTAAAAAGTGTGCAAAGTACAAATATTGTTGGACAAAGGGACTTGTGTTTTGAAAAAGGTAGTACCTAAGTAAATTGATTTTCGAATTTTATCGATTAATACGGGTAAAATGGTAAATTCACCATGTAAATTATTATTTTCTTAATATGTATGTCAAGTCAAAAATTAACGAATAAGTAGGAACAAAAGGAGTACTTAATTACACTGCAAAGTATAATTTCTAAAATTAAAAAAAAAATCTTTTTCATTCTAATTAATTACAAAAATATCTTTTTTCTTACGTCTGAATATATCACTCCACCTACCATTTGAATTAATTATAAATCATTTTTTCTTCTTCATCTGTCTCTTACATCCGAATGCATCACTCCACCTATCATATTTTGATTAATTACGAAATTTTTTTTCGTCTCTCTTTTAATATGGAGATACATAATGATTATCTATCAGACATATTACAACTTTGTTTGTATACAATTATTGTATCTGATACAAATGTTATTGTTGATACGTAACTCTAATTATTTCAAACTTAAATCAGTATGAACCTGTTAATGTTTATGCATTTAATATTAAAATTAAAAATGCATATGTTAGTGGGTATAAGTTAACAAGAATAGTCATTATTGTGGTGTAGCTCTTGTAAGTACCATTATTGTCATGATCCAGATCTACTGCTAATTCCACTCATCATTATAGCTTATAACTTATGTAACGTTTACTAACTAGTATCTTCTTATTCATCGTAAGGAAGAATTTCTAACCTATAAATAGTGATGTCTTCCTTTGAATTAAAAATAACAAGAAATGGAAAAATATGTCAAAAAAGATGAGAAGTGTGGAAAATATTGTAGTATGTAGTGAGGTTAGTATAGTAAAAGAGAGAGTTGAGACAAAGAAAATATTTCAAGTATTCAACTATATTCACTATAGAAAAAAGAATATTTATATGTTGAAGGAAGATGTTCTTATGTGGAGCTTTGGACTCATCAACTAAATTCAGAGTTGCTTGAGTTGTACGAGATTGTTATATCATGGAGGGGATAAGCCAAGAATGATATTGTTGGATAAAGTATAGATTATATATGCCACAATAGACTTGAATCTCCTTAAAGAGAGCGAGATATATCTACGCCCAACCTAAAGTATTTGTTTATTCTATTTTGTGCCTAAAGATTTATTTATTTGTTTTGTCATTTTATTTTCGACTGTAATTTCTCGTATTTGTTATATATTACACCAACAGAGTATGTTTTATATAGTTATGTATTCAATACATTACATTACAACTTATTTGTATACAATGTATCTAGTAGAAATATTATTATTGATACATAACCCTAATTATTTAAAATCTAAATCAGTATCGAACAAAGAAGCAATATATCCACAAGTTCTATAAAATATAAGATTATTATTTGATTTTTTTTAAATGGAACAAAATTAGCACCTAAATTATTGAATTTTTTGTATTTTTACACAAAAATTGATGTAGTTTATGGGCCATATGTACTAAGTGCTCAGCCTAGGTTTTTATTTGCAGCTCGTTTCGTCTCCAACTAATTATAATGAACCTTTTGTTGAGCTTATACATAAAAAAAATTAAATTTTTTTAGGGATTTTGTTACTGTCACTATCATTGAATTTTAACTTGCTATATATATAGTAGAGTATTTATCATTTTTATCAGATTATCTATTAATGGTTATCAAGAAATTAACCTAAAACAACATAATAAATTATCTAACAGTGTAAAATACTTTTTACTAAATTGAAAAAATATCGCTAATGATATTGTTTCAGTGGGACTTAAATATATACCTATATGTAAATAGAAATAATTATTAATACTCGCATTAGAGTAAATTGTCTACGTCACACTTCTTGGAATATGGTCATTCTTCAAACATAAAATGTTTTTTGTCAAATTATAACCTTTTTCTTTCTCACCCATACAATATTTTATATTTACGTTAAAATCAGACTAATCTATATTCGTACAGAGAAATTAATAAAGACGAATATGTACCATAAGGACACAAACTCTTAATCTACCACTTCACCACTACCCTTATTAATCCGCATATGACATGCTCTGATTATATCTTTGTAAGAACCAAACAAGAACAAAAAAATAAATAAAATATGCAAATAAGAAAAGGATGCCAATTGCCAAAAGATCTTGTCACTATATATATAGTATATGTATTAATTACCACCCAATAATATAATTATCATTAACTTATCAACCTTAACAAATGATCACCAACTTTGTAAGTTTAATTTCCAACAATTATTTAGACTATAAATTTCATAATATAGGAAACTAATGTAGCATATACTTCTTTGGATCAAATATTTTAGGTTTAATTATATATGTGGATGAAAAAAATATTGTGAACTTAATGGCATATTGTAAATTGTTGAAGGCAAAGCAGCCATAACATTGAAATTTTGAATTTCTTCGTGTTCATGTGGTACTGCTACTCCATGGTGACTATCTGT